TCCCCAGAAACAGCCCTACCTACTGAATTGTCCTACACCTCAGCTCTGAATAAGGAATCCACGACATCCCTTAGTAGCCTGATTTCTACACATGCCACAGAAGGAACTGAGAAATCCCCAACAGTCTCCACACAGGAACCTACAATCTTCCGAACCCCCTCAATTTCACCAGAAACAGCTGTACCTCCTGAGAGCTCCCACACCACAGTCCAACCTGAAGCATCTACAACCTCCCTGAGTAGCTCATTTTCAACACAAGCAACTGAGACCTCCCACAAAACAGCCTTACCTCAGGAATCTACAACTTTCCAGAGCTCCTCAACTTTAAGAGAAAGTGCTTTACCTCCTGAGGGCTCCCACACTACAGTCCAAAATGAGGCCTCCACAACCTCCCCGAGCAGCTCAATTTCAACACAGACATCTCAACCCACAGAGTCATTCCAAACGACTGTCTTCACTCTGGAACCCACAACCTTCTCTAGCAGCCCAATGTTGACAGAAACCACTGGGCCTCCTCAGATCACTCACACCACAGTCCACACTGACTCATCTACAACCTCCCAGAGCAGCCCAGTTCTGTCACAGGCAACTCACACTACTGCAGGCTCTCAAACAACAGTCTTCCCCCGGGAATCTACTACAACCTTCCCAACCAGCACAATTTCCACAGAAACAGCTGTAACTCCTGAAAAACCCTACACCTCAGCTCTTCCTCCAGAGTCTACCACCTCCCCACCTAGCCCAAGTTCTACACAAACAGCTCAAGCAACTGAGACATCCCCAAGAGTCTTCACTCAGGAATCTACTATCCTCACATCCCCCTCCATTTCTACAGACACAGCTGGACCTCCTGAAAGCTCCTACACCTCAGCTGTAAGTGGGGCATCTACAGCCTCCTCAAGGACCCCAGTGTCAACACATGAAACTCAACCAGCTGAATCATGGGAAACAGTCTTCACTCAGGAACCTACCACTTCCCAAAGGAGCCCAGTTTCAACACATTCAACTCAAGCAACAGAACCCTTGAACCCAATATTTACTCAGACGTCTACAACCTTCCCAAGCAGCTCAGTTTTCCCAGAAACTGCTGTCCCTCCTGACACCTCATCTACTACAAGACAGAATGAGGCATACTCAACCTCCTCAGTCAGCTTGATTTCAACACAAGCAACTCAAGCATCTGAGACATCCCAAAAAACAATCATCTCTCAGGAATCTACCACATTTCCAGGCAGGTCAACTTCCATGGAAACTCCTCTACCTCCTGAGAGTTCCTATGTCACAGTCCAAACTGAGGCATCTACAACCTTGCCAAGCAGCTCAGCTTTGACACATGCAGCTCAATCAGCTGAAACCTCCAAAACAGTCTTCACTCAGGAGTCTACATCCTTGTCAAGCCCCTCAATTTCCACAGAAACAGTTGTATCTCCTGTTACCTCCCACACCTCTTCCCTGACAGAAGCAACTACAACTTCCCCAAGCAGCCTGATTTCCACACATGCAACTCAAGCCACCAAAACATCTCAAATAACAGTCTTCACCCAGGAATCTACAGCTTCCACAACCAGCTCATTTTCTGCAGAAACATCTCTAACTCCTGAGACCTTCTACACCTCAACTCTGAATGAAGATTCTACACCTTTCCCAAGTAGCCTGAATTCTACACCAACAGCTCAAGCAACTGAGACATCCCCAGAAGTCTTGACTCAGGAATCTACCATCTCCAGATCCCCTTCCATTTCAACAGAAACAGGTGTACCTCCTGAGATCTCACAAACCTCAGCACAGGCGCAGGCATCTACAACATCGTTAGTGGGCTCCTTTTCTACACATGGAACTCAATCCACTGACACTTTCCAAAAAACAGTCTTCACTCAGGAGCCTACAACCCTCCCAAGAAGCCCAATTTCCACACAAACAGCTGTACCTCCTGACAGCTCCCACACCACCATCCCAACTGAGGCATCTTCAACCTCCTTGACCAGCTCAATTTCAACACATGCAACTCAAGCAACTGATACAACATTGCCAAGAGGATCCATTTCCACAGAAAGTGCTGTAGCTCCTGAGAGCTCCCCCACCACACACCATCATCAGGGATCTACAACATCCCCAATCAGTCCAATTACAGCTCATGTAACTCATCCCACTGACTCACAAACAACAGTCTTCACTCTGGAGTCTACACCCTTTGCAACCAGCTCTATTTCCACAGAAACCTCTATACCTCCTGAGGTCTCGCACAGCTCAGCCCTGACTGAGGCATCTACATCATCATCAAGCAGCCCAATTTCCACACAAGCAACTCAACCAACTGAAACCTCCAAACCCGCCACCACCCAGGAATCTACAACCTTCCCCAGCAGCTCGGTGTCCCCAGAAACAGTTGTTCCTCCTGACTCCTCACTCTCCACAGCCCTGACTGAGGCATCTACAACCTCTCCAAGGAGCCCAGTTTTGAAACCTGTAACCCAAGCAACTGAGACCTCCCAAACAACAGTCTTCACTGAGGAATCTACAGCCTTCCTGAGCAGCTCGGTTTCCACAGGAACAGCTGTACCTCCTGAGATCACCCACACCTCAGCCCTGACTGAGTCTTTTACAATCTCCCCAAGAAGCCCAATGTCCACAGATTCATCTCAACCACCTGTTACCTTGCAAACAACTGTCTTCACTCAGGAATCTACAACCTCTCCAAGCAGCTCAGTTTCCCCAGACACAGCCCTACCTCCTGAGACATTCTTCACCTCAGCCCTGACTGAAGCGTCTACAACCTCCCCAAGCCACCCAATTTCAACAGATGGAGCTCAGAACACTGAGACCTCCCCAATGACAACCTTCACCCAGGAGTCTACAACTTTCCTGGGCAGCTCAAGGTCCTCAGGAAGAACTGTAGCTTCTGAGACCTCCCACAGCACAGTCCAAACACATGCATCTACAACCTCCCCATCCAGCCTATTTCCAACCCAAGTAACTCAAGCAACTGAGACCTCCCATACAGTCTTCACTCTGGAATCCACCACCTTCCCAAGCAGTGGGATTTCAACGTCCACGAGCCATCCCGCTAAGAGCTCTCAATCTACCACCATTACTGGTGAATCAACATTCCCCGGTTCACCACCCTCAGATTGGTCCCCAACTACTTTAACACCCCACAGTTCAAGGTCACCACTGCCACCAGCATCATCTCACACCTCCCCAGCCGCAGTCTCGCCCTCCTCTCCACCCATCTTCTCCAGTTCAGCCCGCTCCCCAACCTCACCTGATGGCCCTGAAACCGCAGCTCATGTGACCTCTTCTTTGACTTCTTCAGTTCCCCGTTTCTCATCCTCGCCAGTCTCCGACTCCTCTTCATCCCAGACAAGGCTTCCTGGGTCTTCCCCTTTCTCCTCCCCCTCCCCTCGCCCCCCTCACAGCACCTTCCCTGTGTTCAGCAGCAGCTCCACTGCCCGGCCCCCTTTCACCAGCCTACACCCTACTTCCATGAGGACTCAATACATCTCTTTGCCACCAAGTAAGTTTCGCGTAATTGACTCTGTGTGTCTCTTCTAGGTCTTGGCTCTTAACCATCTTTTTCTATGTGGGATCGTAGTGCAGGTTTCCTGACATTTACGTCTATCAGTGTATATTTCTCAGCTTGCTATGTGTTGTCTTTGGCGTGGGGTTGGGGGTACTATGCATCTCAGGCTAGGTTCAGTCCTGTGATCCATCTGCCTCACCCTCTTGAGTGTTGTGATTACAAGTGCAGGTCATCACGCCCAGGGTGCTGTTGGTCCTTTTGATTCACAGGGCTCCCTTCCTCTTTTTTTCTCTTGTGTTTCTTGTATTCTTAAACCCATTTCTGCCTCATCCTTTCTCCTCTGGTCCCTGGAGTAAGGTGGAATAAAAGGTTCTTGAGTGTTGTGCCATCAGCTGGTCCCTTGTCAATCAAGTTCAGGGCTCTGCTGACACCTGGGTGGGAGTCAGTGTGTTTGTCCCTGGAGCTTTCTCAATGGTCTTTTTAAATTCTCTCACTTCCCAGAGGACTGCAAGAATGGGAAGTGGAATGGCCGAGCGTGTGAATGCAAACCGGGCTACACCGGCCAGCTCTGCGACTCCATCCTGTACTCCTTCCCAGTAGGTAATGACCCTCTGAGACCTGCAGCCCTCCCTGGGCCCCTTGACACTTAAGGTGAGGTGGCCATATTGGAATGGTTAACCAACCATTCCCATGGCTTCACTGCAGGGAGAGAAGGTGATGTTATTCTTGTTCTGGTCCTCCTGCCTCTAACTTCAGGGCCACCTTTCCTGGCTCTCCTCCCACTCTGGTCAGGAGTTTCTATCCCAACCCTTTGGGAAGCCTTCCACCTAACTCCCTGGGTCTGCATCTGGCCATTAGCTCTCTGTGATCTCAAGAGACAGGGGCTGGGGGCTGGGGAGACAGTTCCATCAGTAAAGTACTCACAGTGCATGTGTGGAGGCCTGAGTTTGGATCCCCAGAACGAATGTAAAACTGCATAGTGCTGCACACCTGTAACCTCATCCCCGGGGAGGAGACATGCAGATCCCTGGGGCACACTGACCAACTAGTGTAGCCAGATTGGTGAGCTCCACATCCAGTGAGAGACCCTGTCTCGAACGCTAAGGTGGAGAGAGAGAAGAAGATATGCAACATGGATGTCTGAACTCCATACATGTGCACGCCCACACAAGCCTGAACATGTATGAACACACACACACACACACACACACACACACACACACACACACACACACACACACGTCTCATCCGTCCTCAGCTGACTCTTGAGTTTCTTCTATCCTCTTTTCTACTTATTTCTTTCCCCTCCATGACACCAACAGGCAGAAAAAGTTACCTACCCCAGAGACACTCCCACAGGTCCGAGGGTGGCTGTCTCACGCACGGTGTTCCCTGGTCCCACAGAAATCCCGAATGTTATCAACGCCACAGTGACCGTGATTGTAAAAGTGATTCATCGGAACTTCACAGCTGACCTGAGGAACAAATCCTCCCAGGCCTACAAGGACTTCAGAGATCTCTTCCTGAGCCAGGTGGGAGCAGTGACACCCAGTCAAGCAAGGGCTACAGACGCCTGTCACAGTTCCTGTCTTATGAGTTCTGAGGAGGAGACCTCTCAGAGCATCCACCCTTGAGCCCTACCCACTCAGACCCCATCCAGGGAGCTCTACCGCCCATTTCCTTTCTCCTTCCTACAGGCTCCACCCACACCAGCCTGGAGCTGTCCAAGATGGGCCATACTCCAGCTCTGTATGATCTCTGATTTTTTTTTCCAGATGGATAAAGTTTACGGGGGCGATGACCTTCCCGAGTACAGAGATGTGACCATTAGAGGATTGTAGTGAGTGTGGGGGGGGGGTACCCCTTTCTCTCCCGGCTGCTTCCTCCTGCCCTGAGGTTAGGCTATCCACATCTGTCTGGGATGGGGAACTCCAGCCCTGAAGCAACACCCAAGAGTCCTGACTCATTCATTGTTTATCACAGTTATCCATTCATAATTTGTTCATTCACTCATTCATAAAACTTGCCGTGCACTCATACATTTATCGTTGATCCATTTCTTCATCACCATGGTTACTCATTCACTCACCATTTGTCCATTCACTCATTCATTCCCCACTTGCTCATTCATTTGTTCATTATGGTTATTCATTTGTTCATGTCAGTTCTATCATCGTTGTTCATTTGCTGATGACAGTTACTCATTCAGCATATGTCCATTCATAATTTGTTCTTTCATTTGTTCATCGTATTTGTTTATGCTTATTCATTTTCATCCTTTATCATGTTTACTCCTTCGCCATTAGTTCATTTATTCACCTACTCATTCACTTTTATATTCACTCATTTTTTTCATTCAGCACATTTTTATTAGAAGGCAACCCTAGCTGAGTGCCACCCAATTGTAATACTAGTGCTTGGAAGCTTAAGACAGAAAGATCAGAAGTTCAAGGCCAGCCTGGGCTACACAGTGAGTTCTAGTCTAACCTAGGCTGTGGAAAGAAACCCCACTTCAACAAAACAAGAAATTCAAAACAAACAAATTGTGTTAGATGCTTGGGCCACAGTAGCCCTGGAGCACAGAATGGCAGAGCACAGGGGCCACCAAGACCGCAGTGTGCATGCTGGTGAGCTGTGATAAGGAACTGCAGTGTGTCAAGAGGAAGACCCCGGAGGCAAGTGTGGTCATCTGTAGAGAATTCTTCCTGGGCGATGTTTTAAGGAGGAGGGTTCATATCGAAGTAGGGAAGGGTGAGGGGAAGAGTTACAGGGGGGAAACACTGAGGGGAGCCCAGAGTGGTGGTGGGGTGAGGGGTGAGTTCTAGAAACTCGGAAGTGCACTCAATAGTGGCAGCAGAGGTTGAGAAATGACTCATGCCAATCAATGAGACTGTCCGTATCAGCTGCTGGCCCGCAAGGGACGGGATCTGACTTGCAGGGCAGATCGCTGCCCAGACGCAGCGGGGTAGAGAGAGGTGGGCGGAAGTCTGCATTGGAGGCGATGGTGTTGACTAGAGAGGGAGTGTGCCAGAGAAAGGGTCCCGTGGGAACGGGCTTGAGAGATAAGATCTCCCCATCAGCCCATGAGGGTCTGTGGAGAGAAAGAAGAGACTTCTGAGCTGCTGAGGCGTGGGGTGCCTGCGCTGGGGTGAGGAATACAAAGAGGAGGAGGAGGAGGGGTGCGGCTTCTGGCGGTGGCAGATGACTTCCTCTGTCTCAGAATCACTCCCTCAGCAGCATCACTGGCCACTTAGGGCGTCAAGGGTAGGGTCCCAATTTTCAATAGAAACTCATCATCTCTTTCTCCTCCTCATCTCCTCTTTCATTGCCCTCTTCCTCCTCCCTCTCTTCCTCTTCTCCTCCGCTCTCATCTCCCTCCTCTTCTCCTTCCCTCTCCCTCTCCCAGCACTGAGACCATAGTTCTCAGCCACCACATTCACCCGCTTTTAGCTTCTCGAGGCGCCGCCATCTTTCTTGCCTCCATGTTCCATCCCCAGCGACACATCTTCACCCAAGAGTCTCTCTGTTTAATTTTTATTGCCTTAGTGTGTGTGTGTGTGTGTGTGTTTGTGTGTGTGTGTGTATGTGTGTGTGTGTGGTGTGTGTGCAACACATGTGTGCTTGAGCCACTGTGTACACACGGAGGAATGGAGGTCACTGGATAACTGGCTGGAGTTGTAGCTCTCCTGCCGTGTGGACCCCGGAACTGATCTCAGGCCTTTACCCACAGAGCCATCCTGACGACCCAAGCCTCTGTTTTTAGAGATAAATTTCATCCTTTAACTTTTGTGACAAACACTGAGATTTACCCATCTTGAGTTGTCTTACTCAACTGGCTCCTTGGAATCTGTAAGCTACCCCAGGGTGGGGGTCCTCAGTTTTTTCCTTCCTTCCTTTTCTTCCCTCCTCTCTTCATCTCCTCCTCCCTCCACCCTTTTCCTTCTTTTGGATTTTTGGAACATAGGGTCTCACTCACTACATAGCCCAGGTTGGCCTTGAATGTTTGATTCTCCTGCCTCAGCCTTCCAAACACCGGCACTCCAGGTGTGCGCCATCACACCCTACAGGGATCCTCCTCTTTCCGACCCAGGCGTCACACGGTTGCCTTGCCTCCCCATCTCCCATCTCGCTGCTTCCGTCTCCCCTGCTGGGTGTGGGTGACATGGAGGAAATGTTGACGTCTCTCCCCGTTCGCAGCAATGGCAGCATCGTGGTGGAAAGCGACGTCGTTCTAGTGGCCAACTACACCCCGGAGTATCAGGCGCTGTTCAGAAACCTCACGAGGATCGTGAAGGACAAGATCATCAATGAGACCAGAGCAATCGACACTGACCCTTTCCTGTGCCAACGTAAGTCCTTCCGAAACCCCGTGGCATTGGTGGGAAGGAAGCCCGGGTGTAGATGGCTTATTTTTAACTCTTTGGGGGCCTGCCACCCAGCTCCCAAAAAAATACCCAGAGACTTATTCTTACTTGTGAATGCCCGGCCTTAGCTTGGCTTGTTTCCAGCTATCTTTTCTAACTTAAATTATTCTATTTCTCTTTAGCTATGTTTTGCCTCTGGGCTTTTTACCCTCCTTTATTCTATACATCTTTCTTTCCTTCTTTCTCCCAGTGGCTGGCTGGGTGGCTGGCCCCTGGTGTCCTCCTCTCCTCCTTTTCTCACTTTTCCTTTCTCTCGAGCCTAGATTTCTCCTCTTATTTATTCTCTCTGCCTGGCAGCCCTGCCTATCCTTTCTTCTGCCTATCTATTGGCCATTCAGCCTTTTATTAGACCAATCAGGTGTTTTAGGCAGGCAAAGTAACACAGCTTCACAGAGTTAAACAAATGCAACATAAAGTAATGCAACACATCTTTGCATCATAGCATAAACGAATGTAACACATCTTAAACTAATATTCCACCACACCTGGGTCTCTACTTCCTCTTCTCTCTCTCTCTCTCTCTCTCTCTCTCTCTCTCTCTCTCTCTCTCTCTCTCTTATTTGGGACACCAGAGTCCCCACCATAGGGATCTAGAAACCAGCCCCGTGTGGTAGCTCACACCTGCAATCTCAGCACTAAGGAAGCTAAGGCAGGAGGATTGTCATGAGTTCAGAGTTAGTCTGGGCTCCACAGTGAACTCCAGGCTTTTCAGCAAAAGTCAGGGGAGGCTGGAGAGACCGTTCTGAAGTTGAGAGCACTTGCTGCTCTTGCAGAGGACCTGAGTTCGGTTCCCAGCACCCATGCCTGTAACTCCAGCTCCAGAAGATCCAATACCCTCTTCTGGTCTCCACAGCCATCCCCCTCACACATATGAACACACACACACACACACACACACACACACACACACACACACACACACAAGGGATAAGTGAAAATAAAATAAATCTTAAGGGATTAGGGATTTAGCTCAGTGATAGAGTGCTTGCCTAGCAAGTGCAAGGCCCTGGGTTTGGTCCTCAGCTCTGGAAACAAAACAAAACAAAAACTCCAACAAAACAAAACAAAACCCAAGGTAACTGGCACACACAACCTTTTGCGAGGCAGTGGTGGCACACGCCTTTAATCCCAGCACTCAGAAGGCAAAGGGAGGTGGATCTCTGTGAGCTCAAAGCCAATCTGGTCTACAAATTGAGTTCCAGGACAGCCAGGACTGTTACACAGAGAAACCCTGTCTCAGAAAACAACAAACAAAAATAATAGATAAATAAATAAATACACAAATAAATCTTAAAAAAAAAAAAAAACCCAGAACAAAGCAAAGCGATCCCCCAGTGCCTCCCCTGGCTCCATCCTGCTCCCTGGCACCCTGTTCAGTCCCAGGCTGCAGTTGTCACCCCCCATGTCCCCATGCGAACCTGCTCACAGGTACGGCTGCGCATCTGGAGCTCTAACACTGGCTCTGTCAGAAGGGGAGGTGGAAGGAGGTGGGGAGGGAGGGAGAGGAGGAAGCCGATGAAGGAAGGGGAAGGAGGGGAAAAGAAGAGGGGGAGGAAGGAGGAGGAGGGGAGTTGGGGGAGAGAGGACAAAAAATGAGGAAGAGGAGGAGGAAGAGGGGGAAAGAGCAGGGGTGGAAAAGTGAGAATCAAGTGGAGGAGGGAGAGGAGGAAGAGGAGAAGGGGAAGAGGAAGGAGAAAGGGGAGGAGCCTGGGCGGGAGAAAGGGGAGGCCTGACTGTTGACAGAGAGGCGGAAAGCAGCCTTTATGGTTTTCATTTTGTTTTTGTCCCCCCTTTGTCGCGGGCAGGCAGCAAACTGTGCTACAATGGTAACTTCACCACTGTGGACGTGGAGGCGCTGAGACTCAGTTTCAACCCTGCCGGTGAGCATTCCCGTGCAGCCCGGGCAGGGGCGTGGATGGCAAACAGGGATCCAGAGAGCGTCCCAGCGGTGCTGACTCCCGCTGCCCTTCCTCACCCTACAGAGCTTTGCACCCGGGAGGCTGCCGAGGACTTCAGACAGTACTTCTACCCGGAGGTCCTGGAGGGAAGGCTGACCTGCGTGAACAACTGCACTCAGGGCACAAAGTCGCAGCTCAACTGCAACCTGGGCCGGTGCCAGCTGCTGCGCTCGGGACCCCACTGCGTGTGAGCGCCTACCTCCTCCTCCTCCCCGCACCGCCTCCCGACGGGAGGGCGCCCCCGCCCACGGTCCCCCAGGGGTGGAATCACGACGCCCTGTGGGTCACATACCTGTTCTGGGCCCACCCCACCCCAGTGTCTCATGCTGCTTGCTCCTGAGTGGCTAGGTGGGTGGATGGCGTGGGAAAATAACACAACCACTGTATCTGAGTGGAGATGCTTGCAAGGCATCTCCGCCGCCGTCTTCCACATCCCTCTCCCCTCTGCCTCCATGAGAGTGATGGGTGGCCGCGTGGTCTCGATCTGGGCATTCTGCAGTCCAGCCAGGGCTTCTCTGAGGAGGCTCAAGTTATTGGCCTCATCTTCCTCTATTTCTTCCATCTATTCACTTATTCCTTCTCCCTGCTTTTCCTCACAGTCTCTTCTTTATTCCCGCCCCTCCCCCTCCCCTCCCCTGCCCCCTCCCCTCCCCTTTTTCTTTTTTCACTTTATTCTGGAAATTTCTATGTATTACATAGGTTTTTTTTTTTTTTTTACTTTATTCTATTTGCTTCCTCCTTTCCTCCCTCTCCCCTCCCTTTTCTTCATTTTTTTTTTTTCAAACTGGGTCTCTGTAGCCCAGGTTGGGCTGGAACTCACTGTGTAGCCCAGGCTGGCCTCCATCTTGAACCAGTCTTCCTCTCACAACTTGACCTGACCTATCCTCTCTTACAACGACATTTCAGCCGTGAAAGCTTCTAGCTGCGACCTGGACTCGCTAGTTTCCAAGATCATAAATTAACGTACAAAATAGGAAACACGATAAGAAGCCCATTCAAGTGCCCGCTGCTTTCAGATTAGATGGGCAAGCAAGGACGAGACACTCAGGTCCCTGGAGTCCCTCTGAGATCTGGTCATCCTGAGTTTCCCCTCTCCCACATCTTACAGAGTCAGGGACCCTGACTCCCCCAAACACACACACACACACACACACACACACACACACACACACACACACCTTTAGTAGAGGTCCGTGGGTTTGGGGTAATTTCCCTTCGGGAGACCTGATTTCAGGGACCTAGCCTGAGCCTGTGTATGTGTGTATCTCCAGGTGCCCCAACACAGACACCCACTGGTACTGGGGGGAGACTTGCCAGTCTAGAACCAGCAAGAGACTCGTGTATGGACTTGTGGGCACCGTGCTGGCAGTCCTGCTGGTCCTTGTGGTTGTCTTGGCTGTCTTCCTTGGCCGGTCTCAGAAAGAACTGCGCAGGTGAGCTTGTGAGCCCAGCAACCACAGTCACACAGAGAGGGGACCCATTTGGGGGGTGAGGACACTCCACCCAGAGATGGTGGCTTAATGTTCTACAATTCCCTCGTTTCCAGTCTGGCAGTGAAGAAGTCACTGAGGTCAAACAAGGTGTCTGTCTAACCCCACCCATCCCTTAGCATCACTAAGGGTGACTTTTTTATCTGATAGGGCAAGGGAGTCTCCTTTGAGTGAGAAATGGAAACAGAAACTTAAGCACTGAAGTTAGATTATACAATACAATTATATTTTATTATCTGGGCTGCCTTAGAGAATAACAAGGAAGCTGGGACTGAGCCAGATGGGGTGAGATGCACGGTCTAAGAATTGCCAAGAAACAGTCGCTAGAACATCTGGGCCAGAAGTGGGCAGGAGGGGCTGCTGCAATGCCCCCATTTCATAGCCGAGGAGACTGAGGCCCACTAGGGAACTGAGGGACGTTTGGAGACGCAGAGGCCAGGGGTGCTAGCCGTCACTGCTCACGGCCGTTACTTGGAAGGACAGACGTGGCCGTCCCCGCTCAGGGTCTGGGTCTGCTGGGTTCCCACCTCCTCCTCTCACACGCAGCTGCTCACTCGTGACTACTGTTTGCAGGTCAAAATATGACCCCTCCCAAGCATGGCAGAGAGACGCTGTCCCTGGAACCTTCCGGAGCACAGGCGTCTGGGAAGGTAACTGTTCTGGGGGAAGGTGGAGGCGGGAAAAGGTTCCGTGGCTATGAGGGTGTGGCGTGAGTCCTTGCTGTGGCCTGATGAAGCTCATGTCACATCCGGCCCTGCGTTTCAGTGCATCAACCCCTTGCTCGTCTGCGGTTCCTCGTCCCCTTCTCCTTCCCCACCATCCAGGCCTCTCACTGACCCCCCAATTTTTTCTTCTTTTTTTTTTTTTTTTTTTTTTTGTTTGTTTTTGTTTTTCAAGACAGGGTTTCTGTGTAGTTTTGTGCCTGTCCTGGATCTCGCTCTGTAGACCAGGCTGGCCTTGAACTCACAGAGATCCACCTGCCTCTGCCTCCCGAGTGCTGGGATTAAAGGCGTGCGCCACCACCGCCCAGCCAGTCTTTTTTTTTTTTTTAACTACATTTATTTAGTGGGCACACATGTGTAATCGTATGTGGGCAGAGGTCAGAAGACAACTTTCAGGAGTCAGTTCTTTCCTTCCATCATGTGGGTCCCTGGATGGGACTCTGGTCACCTTCCACCTCTCACTAACTTGATCTCTGGTCCTTCTTCAGCTTCTTCCCCCTGAATCCCCAGGGCCCCCACTGAGCATCCCCCCACCCCACCCCCATGTTCCTGTATACATCACACCACTCTCTGGAAGCTCCGTTCCCCACCACCTATACCAGCCCCAAACCTACTGTTTCTATAACCTATTAGTGACCCCCTCCCTCTCCAGGGATCCCCACTCCACCCCCCACTTTGTCCTTAATCTCCCCTGATTCCTGAGCAACTCAGGGGCCCCTGGTGCTGTGTCTGCCTGAGTCTCCCTCTGTCCATTCCATGCCATGGAACTTCTTCTTCAATCAGCATGGCTGCCTCTGCCCAGGTCTTCCCCTGAGCAGGCTTAGACTTTCCACCTTCTGTGTGTGTGTGTGTGTATGTGTGTGTATGTGTGTGCACACGCCTGTATGCACATGTACACACTCATGCACACGCTCACGTGCACATGTATGCAGAGGTCAGTCTCAGGTGTTGTTCTTTTGAAGCTATACAAGTTGTTTTGGGGGACAAGGTCTCCCTCACAGGAACCTGGAGCTCATGGATTGGGTCAGGCTGGCCGGCCGGAGAGTCACAGGGATCCCCCAGTGGCTTCCCCAGTGCTGGGGTCATAAGTGTGTATCACTGTGCTCAGCTTTTCATGTGGATGCTGGGGATCAAACTCAGGTCCTAAGCATTTATGAGGCAAACATTTTACCAACTGAGTCAACTCTTCGGTTTCCCTTCATGGGTCTTTGCTGTCACTGTGTTGCCCAGGGCGATCTCAAACAAACTACAGTGTAGCATAGGTTGGCCCTGAACCCAAGGCTCCTCCTAATTCTGCCTCTCTAGTGCCGGGATTACAGGTGTGCCCCACCACACCCACAGTTTCCGCTTCGTAGGTTTTTTATGACCCCTTCTGTGCCGTCCTTTTCCTAGTGATTCAGGGTGGGCTCAGAGTCATCTCCTGCCTCACAGGACAAGGGTGTCAGAGTGCCAGGAGATAGCAGTGCACAGGTCATGACCGGAACACCTAGCCGGCTGTGACGCAGCCTGGGGTTCGGGCTCACTGACGGTTTCTAATTTAAGCCTGAATCTCCAAGCAGTGCCTCAAGAGGTTGGCTTCCTGCTCCTAGAAACCGTCCCTGAGTGAGCCCCTTCTTAGGTTGGGGCACTACCTAAGAAAAGGCATGGTACCACACACCTGGAATCCCAGCATTAGGGACGCGGTCACAGGAGAGCCAAAGGTTCAAGGTCATCTTTTGTTACATAGCGAGTCTGAGGCTATCTGATTTACATGCCCCCTCTCCCCCACCAAAAAAAAAGAGGGCTTGGAAGGCTTTGATCAAAGAAAGAGCTGGGTATGTGGTGTTGTGTATGTGTTTGTTTATCTGGAACAGGGTCTCACTATGTAGCCCAGGCTAGCTTCGAACCCACGAGCCTTCTGCCTCAGCCTGCCAAGCGGCTGAGTCCACAGGTACATATATCACCAAGTCTACGGACGAGTTTTAAGTGGGTCACTCAGGTGGATCTGAGGGGACAAAGTGGGAGATGAGGACAAGGTGACAGAATGCCTAGGCCCAGGGGGTGAGAAGTGGAGGGGTGACCAGATGAGGCAGTTGGGGGGGGGGGTGCTGGGGTTGCTGGCAGGCTGGGGCGGGTGTCAGGGAGGGCAGAGCATCTGAAGCTGGAGTCTCGGGACTATGGTGGCTGCTAACGGAGCTGGGCATCCAAGAGAGAAGTCTGTGGGGCGCACCGACTCCCTGGACCCGATGGCGGGCCGAAGGGGAGGGCTCTGGGGCCTGAAGATAGCACCGCGAGTCTGAGCGGATGATGGGGGGGGGGGGTCGGCAAAGAGGAAAAGGGGACAGCCGCCTGGAAGTGCAGCCATGACAGGAAGTGCTCTGAGATGTCCACTGAGGAACGGCCAAGACGTTAAGGGGAAAACAAAAACCCCAGGCCCTGTCCCTGAGCAGTCAAGAGCTGCAGGACTCGGGAAGAGGAAGTAGGTGTTGCTGGTGAATACTAGAGCCACAGTTTCCCGAAAACCCGGGTTGTCTGCTGTGTTGACACAGTTGCTAAGGGCCGGGCAGGTGAGGGGGGTAGTGTGTGACTCAAGAGGCTGCCACCGGCTCCACCCCAGCTGTGCCTCACACCGGGGGGCAATAACTCCGAGGCATGGGTATGACTTGTGACCCACGGTACATAGTACGGGGTGGGTAGGGAGGCCGTCCCTGACGTCTCTGCATCACCCAGACCGGCTTCCAGGCTCAAGTCAAGTCCCCCGAGACTCCATCGGGGATTTGAAAGGTTGAAGTGGTTATCACCGTTTTCCTGGACCCCCTCCACCCCCACCCCATACACAGTCCACCTGCCCATGGCTGGGGCCCCCAGCTTCCCCTGTTCCTCCCCCTTACACCACACTGTTCCCGACAGGCCAGAATCTGAAAGACGACAAATTTACCCTTGAGAAAGGGTACAGCCACTTCCGGCCAAACCTGCAGAGTGTGGACCCCAAAGCCGAGGTGACACAGCCGAGCGCTTCCCCCACCTTGGGATTGCCCGCTCTCCTCCTGGGTTTCCCCCCTCCCCCTC